TCAAAATCTCTTTTTTCCTTCCCCGAATTGCTTTATGCATCCTCACGGGATCTAAAAACTCCCAAGCAGTGGCTCATCACACATAGCTCCTCCTCTCGCTTTTTCTGGACTCCAGGAGAAGACGACTCCTGCCTCTTCCTCCCAGCTTCATTTTCAGTAGGCAGCGTCTCTCAGTTATGCTAGACATCTCATTTCAGTAATAATCTTAACCTTATGCCATAGGTCACAATATCATAAGCGTGTACAAGGAAAAGGAGGTTTCCCCTGCAGCCATGTTGTACTTAGCTCTCTTATTGCAGAAATAAACCATGACACAAGAGTTAGCTGACACCATCATGAAATATCAACCTAAACTAAAGGGATGGCTGTTGAATAAGGACTGGTACAGATGTCCTGCTTCTATTTACAGCTCTCCTTCCTACCACCTGCATAATTTTTTACTTTTTTGTGCCTTGGACTCCTCATCAGTGGCAGAGGACATGTCCAAGAGGACACGAGAATTCTCTGGGACACCATAAAATGGAATAACTAAATGAATACCACCTCCTGCCCAACCCTGGAATAGAAGAAATCCTGTTCATGGGAAGGAGAAGACACTTTGAAGACTTTGCTCACACCGCCATAGAGGCAAAGGGTTCCTGTGTCGCAGACCAACTAGGGGTCTCCAATTTTTCTCTTCAGGCTCCTCTTCTCTTCTTACTCAGTCTAAGCTACAGCAACTCACTCTATTGAAACAGATGAAATTTTCACAGGCTGTCTCACAGTAAGAAAGCTGACACGAAGGTATCACATGTTTCACCCACAGTATTGCTTCTTCATCCATGGGATAATCAAGTTCAAGTCCCCATCATCTGTAAACTAAAACTCATGTATCGTATCACATCTTCCCCCACCCCTTTCCAAGCTGCATATGGTTCAGGTAGAGTTATCGCTGTGGCACATCTCTGGAGCCTCAGAAGACTCTGGGTGATGCGAGATGGCTGAATCCCTTGGGAAAAGCACACAGACTGAATTTAAAGTGCTAAACGAGAGTTTGGGATGATATGCCTCTTTCCTCCGAAGAACCCTGGAATGTGCAAATGCAGTCTGTCCCATAACCCTGGTGAAAAGGGACAGACACCACCACAGGTGAAGTGCTCATCCAACTATGTCGAGATTTCTACCGGTTAATAATTTTACTGAAACAGAAAATACATTGAAATGGCAAGCTATGGAAAAGTGGGGTAAAATTAAATAAAATGGAAATCATAACAATGATCCACAGAATTTGCTCTTCTTTCATTCATAAATATAACAGTAATTTTGTTATCAAATACTCTGTGAATTGGTGTGAAAAATACTGAAGGTGACATTTGTGAGTACATTACTGCTGGCTTCGGCCTTTCAAGACAAAGTATACGATTAAGGTCCCTGGCACTACAGACAAAAGTCAAGACTAAATTTTTTTTAATGTAAGGAAAGACCCCAAAAGTATATGGGTTTTTTAAATACTGTGATTAGGAGGCAGCAAAAAGAAGGAATAAAGGTACAGGCTACAAGGTATCTGAAGAGGCTATAGCAAAATTTAAAGGCCAAATCTTTCAGTGCATCTTCTACTTTAATTAATTTTCTTCACGGGCAATTCTTGCCACATATTCAGATGCTGAAGGTAATAAGGGCTAGATGTTGGAGAGAATGGTTGTATTTCTTTTATATCTTGTTTCAAATCCTGAATTAAATTCACCAATAAACATCTAATTAGTATTTCCATCCCAGATCTCTGTAAGCATTGGTCCCTAACAAAGCACAATTCAGTGTTTCATAATTCATACAAAGAAGATAAAGGAATCGGAAACAGAGATAATCCGGAAAGAATGAAAGTAGAGTCTGATGTTCAGATTTGATGATCCTAATATTTGGATAAATTCACTTGGCTCAAACTTTCAGCTGGTGTGACTATAACTCCTTAGCAAGGTTTTAATTCTGTTTGCATTTATGCACCTCTATAGCATTTGCAGCGGAAATCAGACTCTCGAGTAATGAATTTAAGCCTTCTGACTAAAGTACTGTTTTTCTCAGTTACTTTTGCAGGTCCCCCAGAGGAAGTCCAGAGCACAGGTGGAAAACCACAGCCATAACATGTAAATGATGAAATATATGTCATAACTAGACATACAAGGGAGAGAAGATAGCAGCAAGGTGCTGCCTAATTTGCAAAATTACATTCACTTGTACAGTCTGTCACACAAATCATCGAGATAAAATGGTACCCAGCAGCTGGCAGGTAACATGTGGTACTCTCCTACCTACCACCATTCTCTCTTCTAAATAGCTCACGCTAGCTGATTGCCAAGGAGAAGCTGCTAGCACAGACAGGGACAGCTCTCGGAAGCAACGATGCTTGGCTGCAAAAAGGAGATGGGCACTAGCAGTGACAACACGAGCTGCTCAAGCAGGCAGACGCACATACAGCTTGTGTTTTAAATGCTGCAGGTGCCAGCTGAAGACAACATGATGGCTGCAGCAGGCCTTATTCCAGAGTGTTACTGGGATGAAAGACCTCACTGGGCATGGCCCCAAACAATCTGGTCTGACCACACAGCTGCCCCTGCTTAGAGCAGGAGGGTGGACTGGAGACCTCCCAAGGTTGGATCTTTCCAACCTGAAAGATCCTATAATAAGATGGCAAAGTATATCTCATTTTCACAGCCTACTAGTGAGAGCAGTGCACTGAAAAAATGAAAGAATATTAGTAAAATTGTACTAACACCATAGGGGAATAGCTATAGCCCTTCTCAGCTCAGATCTCCACACTTAATCTCTGCAGATATTGAAAAAACAAAGTGCAAACACATGCAGATGTCAGGCACATAGCACTACAGTTCATAAAATACTAGTTTTAAAGTGCCATTAATAAATATCTTTTAGATACTCCTCCTCTCCCGAAGTAGACCAAGAAAGAATGCTCTGCAAACACACTTCCTCTGGTTCAATGTCTTTTCCTTCTGATACAGAAATCATCGGTGAAATGGTTTAAAAACAAAGCAGGGTGTGAAGAGTCACATCCCAACCCCTGTGAGGTTCAGCTGCTCTCAGCAGATCTCAGAACATCGCTGGCACTGCCACCCTGCAGGCAGCCTTGGCCCATATCTGATCCCAGCTGTCTGCCAAACACAAACATTAGCAACACTATTGGCATGTTAAGTCAAATGGTAACACTCAGGGAAGGATCAGAGAGGAAGTGTTTCTCCTTCACTGATTACAGGCGGAGATGGAAGCGCTTTTGCCAATTCTGTATGGAGAAGCACAGGCAGTAAAAAGCCCTTCTGGCAGGCTCTAGGCAGCACCCATTGTCTTCTGAGGCACACTATTTGGAAGGAAAAGTGCTATGTGGTAAAATACCCTGATTTTGTAAGAAATCACTAATTACAAAATTCCAAATCTGGAAAAGAGGAAACAAATAATATTGCCAAAACTAATGCTGTACATCCCTCTGCTGTGTTTAAGTCCTCCATCCCTGCCCTCTAACCAACGCAATGAACACCCCAAGCAGTCATCATTCGCTTCCTTTTCCTCACGGTCATCCCCATCGCTTTCCAATTATGGAACCTATATTTTCATTGTAGAGTTACATATTTAATATGCTATTGAACACACACATGCCTGTGTATATTTGCTACAGTTTCGCTTTAAGAAAGTAATTCCAAAGTGAATAAAGATCGAACAATACTTTTCCAACATCTTCAAGATTGTTATTATGCCACAAATTACCCATTTGCACTTATCAAATCTTATTACAAGCTCAAAGATTTATTCTTAGAATGCACCTTTAAAACTATGCAGTAAACCTAATCTGTGCTTCTCTGCATGAACAGGGAATTTAGGCTTGTAACTCCCACCAGTATTAAAAGCAGTTCCATACACAAGTCCCCTTGAATCCAGACAAGAGGAAACCCTCATAAATCATTTTTCCTTGAATTACTAAAATACTTCCCAGGCACCTTAATTTCATATTAAAACATCAAAGAACCACATCACTCAGTTCTTAACTGCAACACAGTATTTTAAAAATAGTTTCAGAAATGTCCTTGGTACACTTAAGTCGTCAAGGACCACCATCTGGAGAGAAAACCTTTTACAGCAATATGCTATTTATTATGTGAAAACAGTGACATAATCACTAGAAGTCTGAAGTTTTCCAAGTCCTGCAGTAAAAAATAACTATGGCTAACAAACTACTAGTGGCTGTCTCCAAAACAAATATCTAAACAATAATTCATTTATCTGATGTAAAACCAGCAACTTCCATTCAGACCCTGGATGCTTTAAAGGGCAAACCCAAAAAGCTTGAAAAATGTGCAGCTAGGAAGACAAGCAGCCTTGAAAGGCAGACAAAAAAAAAAAAAAAACAACCCAAAAATGCTGCTAGGAATTTGCTCTGCATTGAATCAATACATTTAGCATAGATCCTAATTTCAGTCTTTAAGGAGGCAGCTTGCCTAATTCAAGGTTAAAAGTTCATTATAATTTTTTTTGTCTGTCACACCAAATAGCTAAATATTCTGATAAGGAAGGGATACAAGCATTTGATCTACAATAGATGATGAGATGTGCTCATAATTATGAAGCTGTTCTCATTTGTATTACCCTTGCAAAGTGTAAGAGCCATGTCCAAGGTTGTCCTTACAGGCGTCTTTAACATAATGCTAGGAATGACATGTTTCTTCCTTTTGGAAATTATTTTCTTGGGTGATTAATGTAAACAAAAGTTTTAAAAGCTGATCAGTATGAACTTCAGAATGAAGAGCTTTATCACACAGACAATGAAGTTGCCTCTGAACGGAGGAGAAAAAGAAACACTGTGCTCTGCCTGCATATTCACATGCAAAGTAACAACTCCCCGACAACCACGTTGACATCATGCAGCATCTGCCTTTGACTTTCTGCATATGCATTGAAAAGACACACCTCAGAAAAGAAAAAGACAGTTTTAAAATCAAAATAACCATTTTGTTACTTACAGCATTTGATAAAATGGTAATGAGACATTCTTTCATCTCAGGCTGTAGTCTTGCTACAGGCTTCAGCATTCTCTTCTGCTACAACTGTCATGCCCAGAAAATGCATTATTTAGAACCCTTCCTCAGGTATCCAGTACACCTCAGAATACATTATTTAATGGAGGTTCTGTTCCAGGATCTTGCAGAGGCTTCCAAGTCATCCTCACCCGACTGCTGGAGTTAAGATAAACCTCTGTGCGTCTTGAACCATGACTACTGCACGTGCTATTGTAGCACAATTGATTGACACCGCTCCTAATCCCACATCCCCAGGAATAGAAAGATTTAATTGGTGTGCACTTGCAGCCACATTCTTCCAGCACTGAGGTGTGCTGCTGCACTGCGGCTCTCACAGTCCTGCCAGTTAATGGCTTTTCAATAGCTTTCAAATGGCAGCAAACTAAGCTTGATGAGTGGGCTCGAATGAAATAGCAGAACAAGGGATCTTCAATTTTATTGTGCATGTTGTGCATTCGTGTGCCAAATGTGACCAGATTCTTAGCTGGTACTAAAACAGGATTATTTTTAGTTGCCACCAGTTGCTGTGTGAATAGGAAATTGATATAGGTTGCCAAAAATAACCACCTTTTAGGATCACAGATCATTTTTCAGTATGTTGTAAGGTAAAAACTGGGATAGAGCTCACTGCCATCTTCAGACTCTCCTGGTTTATGCATGGGTTCATTTAAATTGAGCTAAGAAACATGCTTGTGTGTACATTCCTTGATATGTTCTTGTTCTGTCATTTTTTTGTACTACACTGCATCTTTCTCACAGATGGAATATTTATGTCAGAAGAAAGAAACTGCAAGCTCTGCATGGTTTATATCGTGATTATGTGCATGTTATCTAATGATATTTTAATCACTGATTGTAAAACAAAAAGCCTAAGAAAATGCACCACTAAGAACAAGTCCATACAATTATTTATCAGACCAGGGAATAACAAGTCAATGTATACTGATGCATTACCCGGTTTCAGATTAAGGGCACACAAAAGGCAGACCTGCACTGTATTTTAAACACCCAGGCTGCATCATCCTCTGAGCACAATTCCTGCATTACTTTTCCAAAAACAGTCACCCAGGAATTTGGTTACTACTTCGAGAAACCTACAGCAGAACTACAGTAAAATATTTTTATAAAATAAATAATTAAAGAAAACAGTGCTCAGTGAAGATTTACATTTGCTTGCCATGTGTCATGCTTACCACAATCATCAATTCACTGAGAGCTCTTGTAAAAGGGAGCTCATAGCCCAGCCATATTTAAATCTTTTATTCACCTGAAAGGTTCTTACCTACTATTTTGTATACATACCATTTTTAACAGGTACAAATTGTTAAATTGCCTACAAAGAGAAAAGGGTCTGAGGATTACTAATTCAGATTCTACTAACTATTCTGCAAAGTTGCCACAAGAGCAGAAAGATATATATTCACTGGCTTCTGGTGATCCATTAGCAAAACCCTTAGGTGAAATCTCTCGGCTCCTAACAGCCACATATTTCAAATCTGGTTTTAGGTATAATATGCACAGCAATAGTTTTGCAGGACTAATTATTTAGGTGGTTTTTTTCCTGAAAACATCATTTTTCAAAAGAAAGAGAAAAAAATATTTAGAAATAACCAGGGGAAATAGGGATAAACTATATAAAACACAATACAGTAATTACATTACCTTGGAAACTTTTTACTGTAAAGCTCAGAAGTCCAAAGTAATTAAATTTATCCAGACTTTTTTTCACACCTATATAACACAAGGCCAGTTTGGGCCATATGGATTATAAAATAAACATACAGAGTGTTTTAAGAGGCAATGTTAGTCATATTTCATAAGCAAGTGTCAAGTAATCTGACAAAAAGCCCTTTGAGCAATACTTTTTGGCGGAGACATTCCTGACAGGTTCATCTCTGGTGGTACTGTCAGGCCGACAGACTGCTGTGTCTAATAACATCATGCTTCCACCAACCCACGCTGGCTAAAACCAGGAGGACTATCAGTAAACACTGGTGAATGGGAGCAACGGACAAAAGATGCTTTTCTGAAGACAGAGATAAAAGGAAGAAGAAACATTTCTGATTTTGCCTTGAAAAAAATATGGCAGAAAAAGTATTTGGATCTGTCTCATTTCAGATTGTAATATATGTGGTTTATCTATTGAATTGCCATAGTGAAAATTTAGGATGGTGGAACTTAGCATTTATGTGACAGGTTAGACTGCATACTCCATCCTGCAAGGAGCGGGAGAGAACCATAGTCCCTTACAGAGAGTGTCAAGGTACAGGATAAACTCTTGAACACATACTTACTTCAGACCAACTGGGAACAGAGTCCTGCTATCTACACGGCTAACACATCTCCAATTTCTTCTCTCCTAATGTGCACTAGCCCATGTAAGCAGGGAAGCACGTGGGGCTCTTGCAGAAGGGAGGGTCTGCAACATTACGCTGTAGCTGGGGATTGTGCCTTTTAGCCGGATCTTTGGACTGTGCAAGTCTGTGGAGTGGCATGTACCCACCTGCAGCAGGGCACTGTGGCCTCTCCCCTGCTCTGGGAGTCCACGCGCCAAAAAGGTGTGATTATGTGCTCGAGTATGAATGACAACCCGCTGGTGAATGAAAGAAAGGCACCAACTTTTCAAGAGGTGACACCTGGCAAACAGCTACCTCAAAAGGCCTTTCATTTTAGACTGTCACATGTGCTTTTTAAAATGTTTTAATTATATAAAATATTTATTTTTATTACATGGGTAATTATCATCAGTGGGCTTTGCAAAAGAAGTGAAAGTTTAAATGGAAAGAAGACAGCATTGTATATTGCTGTCAGCAGAAAGTTCTGATGCATGTTGAAGGGCAGCATTAAAGCACAAAAATTAAGATGGAGGAAAGGTCCCACAGAAACATTGAAATTAAAACACTAGACAGAGTAAAGGGAATTAAATGGAGAATGAAAAGAAATGAGAACAAGGGATAAATGCTAATGCAGAGACGGGATGGACCTTGAGAAGTGGCAGCTAACCGTAAGGCAACAGGAAGCCAGAATAGGAGCACTGAAGCAGAAGAAATCTGGTCCACCTGTTGGTAAGATGCATGATTTCCACTGCAACCTTTTGCTAGGCTGGAAAGTAAAGAAAAAACAAACAGAAAAGAAATTGCAACACTCGTGGTGGTGGATGTCCATATCATAAGCAAAGATTTCAGGTGTGAGAACAAAAAGAAGGATTTAGGATTCTGACATGAGTCCAAAGGAGGGAATATTTTGTTGTCACTGATTTTACAAAGCAAATTGTACAATTTGCTTATTCACAAGAAAGAGGATATTAGTCATGTTAGGTATTTTCTCCTGACTGAACTCCAGCAATGAAAAAGGAATTCTGAAGAAAAAAACCAAAAGCTAGGAATGACACTTAAAATCCAACCATGTAAACTATGGAAGTACATCTGGACAAGCTCTAAGTGCATTGTAAAACTGCTTTGTCTGAACATTAGGGAACATTGTCATGTTTTCACTCACAGCTCCACTGGTTTCCAGAAGACTACACCAGTGTTTAAGTCTACAAAGTGGCACAAGTGTACTTAGACTGGAGGACAAAGACTGAGCTGGTATTAAACCTGGTGATAAAACACTTAATGTGTTTGATTTTGTCCAGCTCACCAAAAATAGAGATAAAATATAATCAAGGTCAGAAAACAAGATAAATTTAGCCCTTCAGGAAAAATTTGTTGCCAGCTCTCCCTATAGAAAGAAAACAGCCACTTTCATGCTATGTACAAATCCAGCATTCAATGAAATTACAGATTTTTTAAATAGAATCTTGGAACTGGCCAGCCATCACCAGGACAGCTATTTGTCTTAAGATAAACACACATTTACGGATCATCTCAGAGTAGACACTGCTTCCACATCTCAATTTCCAAGGCTCAAAGCTTGTCCTAGAAAAAGCACCTATGAAATGTTTCCTACAATAACCTAGCAAACAAAAATGCTGCTTCAAATAAGTTCTTACTGCCAAGAACTGACATGCTGTATTGTATTCATGCCATGTAACTATTTTTTTACTCTTCCAGTGTCTTCTGGTGTCACAAACAACTGAACACCTAATATTTTTATCATCTTAGTATTTTATAATTCACATAGAACTGTAAGATTTGATAGAGAAATGCAGAACTATCTGAAAGCAATTTGAATAATGAGAAAAACACCATAACTACTGGTTTTAAAAACATGACAGATACTCCCCATTTATGCCATTTTCATTCAGTGCAACAAAGCTTGCTATATTCCTTCAGATGTTACAATTTCATTGCATTACTTAAGGGTTTAAGACTGCAGACAAAAAAAAAAAAAACAGAATGCAGAGTAACATTAACATTGCTCATACATTTTGACAAGTGATACTGCTTAGCAATCAATCCTTGGCCATGCTATCCAGCTGCCAACAAGCCACTCTTCAGACAACATCTGGCAGTTGTATGCTCATCAGGAAACTAGGGATGAGCCGTAGCAGCTTGTCCTGGTTTTGGCTGGGATAGAGTTAATTTTCTTCCTAGCAGCTGGTATAGTGCTGTAGTTTGGATTTAGGATGAGAATGATGTTGATAACACACTGATGTTTTCAGTGGTTGCTACACAGTGTTTATACTAAGTCAAGGACTTTTCAGCTTCTCATATTGCCCTGCCAGCGGAGGCTAGGGGTGCACAAGAAGTTGGGAGGGGACACAGCCAGGACAGCTGACCCCAAGTGACCAAAGGGATATTCCAGACCATATGACGTCATGCTGAACAATAAAGGGGGGGGGAGAGTTGGCTGCGGGGTGGTGGCCCGCTGCTCAGGGACTGGGTGGGCATCAGTCAGTGGGTGGTGAGCAACGGCATTGCACATCACTTGTTTTGTATATTCTCTTATCATTAACATTATTTTCCCTTCCTCTTCTGTCCTATTAAACTGTCTTTGTCTCAGCCCACAAGGTTTACCTTTTTTCCAATTCTCTGCCTCATCCCACCTTGGGGGAGAGCAAGTGAACGGCTGTGCGGTGTTCAGCTGTCTGTGGAGTTAAACCACAACACAGACGTAGATACTTAGCAAGAAGGACTCTACACTAATTTTCTCTACATGCGTCACAGCAGAACAAAACACAGCAGCTTTTCTGCATAAATTTTCAGATGAACTGGCCTGTAAGATGGATGCGAGGTTAACTCCATAGATAGCAGCGACAAACCCAA